GCATTGCAAATCTGGTTGGCCTTTGGTTCCCAAAACAATTTCGTCCCACCCCACACGAAGGAAGCTCAACTGACTGGCAATCTCTAAAGGTGATGTGAAAGGCACTAAAACTGCAAAAAAAAACTACGAATATTCTCATCTCTCAAAACAGAAAAAGCAAAGAAGAGAAAACACGTGTTCCAAACTGGAGGCTACAGCAAACGAAACAATTCTGCGTGCAAGTAAGTTCACTTTTGTCGCCAGAAATTGATTGATTGTATCCTAGCTGTATCCCAGATGAAGGGATATGTTGAGGAGTACCAAGCATGCACCCCTGCAAGCTGACAAGGGGATGTTGGAAGTCTAAAATCTCTACAAGGGCCCCTCTCCAAATTCCATGATTGCCTCAGGAAGGGTATCGGAGTGTATACAAAAGGCCTCCCACCTGGGCTATCAAGATTCCCCGCCTGGACTACCAGGAACGCAGTTCCTCAGCTCATTCAGAGCCACCTCGTTGATGAGTCGATGAGTCAACTGGGTGAAGAATGGAACAATGAGGGCAGTTATCCTTCTCCTTGCAGTTTCCCCTCCCATTGCCCCTCTCACGGCAAAAGGCTTGCCAAGCGGCCAGAAATGACACGCGTACAATTATTGCGTGGTTGAGGGGCACCAACTAATTACTCATCACTAGTTACTCACAAACAAAAGGAGGGAACAACCGAACTCTTCAAAGGAAACAAACAAGTATTGTGTCTTACAGAAAAGTCTAGCCTAAAATCCAAAAATATAGCAACAAAAACAGCGCTGGAGGCTTGGGGCATCTGGGTCCGTTGAAGTGCCATCCTCAGATTTTCCCTTTAAGTCAGTTTGCTAGTTCTCAATAAGGAATCAGCAGCAGGTTTGGGAATGAGCCCAGGGATCCCCTTCAAGGAACCACCAGTTGGACTGTTTATAGGGGGCTGTTCCCTCATTCCCTGAGCACCTACAAGTCAACCACCCAGGTAATTTGGGAATCCAAGCTGCTTTTTTGCTTGGGAGTCCAGATCTATGCAAGCAAGCCGCTCTGCCCGTTGCTGGGCTAGGTCCACTGTGCGGCTCTTTGGCTGCACGCTGGTCACCTTGGCCTTGGCCGCCTGGACTCAAGCGGAGGCATCTGGATCACTTGTTGGGGGGTTTAAACTTCACCTGTTTGGTCAAAATGTGAGGTGAATTCGCCTGGTAGTGATGGTTTCGGACATAAGCCAAATGAGGCAGCGTGAACAAACATCAAAAACGCAGACAAAAACACACACACACACAAACACAGAAACACAGAAACACAGAAACACACACCCTAAAACGCACCTCTGCCCAGGCTGTGTGCCTCCAGCTTTGAGGTGAGGTCCACAATTTTGCGGTCCCGTTGCTCCAGCTTGGCCAGCAGTTGCCGGACCTCACGCCGTTTTCAGTGCGGAGGGCGGGTGTTCGTCCAAGTTAGTAAGTGGTTAGCCACGTGGTATATAACCCGCTAATAACAGGGGTTGTAACAAGTTAGCAAATGGTAAGTTGCGGTAACCTAGTTATGAAACCCACTGTTAACCCCACTTTGGAGGACTTACAAGTGGTTGTAGCAAGTTAGCAAATAGCAAGTCGTTGGTAACCTAGTTATAACCCGATTGTAACCCCCTAAGTGGTGATAACTTTGTTGTTAGTGGGCCGAAATGTGGCTCACCACTTACTAACTTGGCCGAACATCCAAACATGGATGTCTGCCACCCCAATCTCTAGAGGAAACGCTTCTTGGAGCACCCCCCCACGTATGTGTGAACTTGAAGGGACCCCTTCCAAAAGGTTTCTACTGTTACTGCCCAGCCCACTTACCTTATGCAACTTGGTCAAAACAGGGTTCCCTACACGTCCTCTGGGAAACCTCACCCCACCCAAAGGCCATCACGTTGAGAACATTGGCCAAAAGGTCATGTTGAAAACCACCGAAAGCGGAAACATGGGGGGAACGGAACATCGTCCAAATCTCCTCAAATGGTAATTTTGAGGGAATTGACCCCTCTGCCTGACTTTAATCATCCAAGACGGAAGATGCCCCAACGTTACTAAGTGTATGCTAACGCGCCTCATCTGACAATTTACAAATTTGCCACCCCTCACCAAAGTGCTTGCCATAGGAAAACGGTGGCCTCACAAACCGCTTGGAGATGTGCGGGCACCAACACTCCCAGTCCCTGACTCATTGAAGTGATATCCTTGAAGCTAACACTCTCAATATCTCCTGACAGTTGTTTCGAGGAAACGGCCAAAACACCACTTTGAGAACTCGTTGACCCAGTCTGAGCCTTCTTCTTGGCTTTGCTGCAGGTCTCTCTCTCCTCCAAGAAACACGGCAGCGATCCAACTCAAAGTCTGTTCGGCTCCCCTCAAACTATCATGGAACCCAAGAATAGAGCCCCCCAACAAAAGATTCCTCCCAAAAGGATGCGTTTTGGGTGAACTTATGTGAATGTGCAGGAGAGAGTAGCCCCAAACCAACATGTTTCATAGAACCATGTCCCATGTGCACACACGAAGGCAGGGTCGTAATGTTCATAGACATGCGTCTAAGTATAGCTGTATCATTGTCCAGTATTATGCAACCCTTAAATGGTTGGTCGTATGCAGGCCTCAAGCGTTAGTATGACAATATCATTCATTCAGACTGCACCAGCCCCAGCCGTTTTGCAAAAAACAAAAATCAACAGTAGCAATCCAAACCACTCCACAATGGACCGCCGGAGGGAGAGCGGGCTTAGGCTAGACCATGTTTCACGTATTCGGATAAACATAGATGCCCGAACCGATGCTGTTGACTCCGAAATGACAAAACTGGCGGACTAACAAGGGCGTGTTGCCTCCAAACTTCATCTGCTCTCTAAAGCTGGCAGACCCTAATCAAAATTGGGATGAACTCCGAGGTTGCCTGAAATGGAAACCAAAAGAAAGCCACCCCACTTAGGTTCGGAACTTGGGTTAGAACGAAGTCTATTTCCCCTAGGCCCTAGCCCCAGCTGCGTGAATAACTGGGTGCTAAACAGGTTTCTACACAATGTTAAACAGGGGGTCTGGAAGGATTCAACACTTGTCCATCGCCACCCAATTAGCACCCAAATAAGAAGCCAGTAATTTCATGAGAAAGCATTTTGGATGCAAAAGGAAACCCTCTCCAAAGTTTAAAGCAAAGCAAAATAACTAACCCCAGCTGCCAGACTAGTAAATAACCACTCATGTTCCTTTTGGATTTCAAAGGGTGGCAAGCCCTTGGTTGCCTACAAAAACCGGGTAACCAGTTGTTTTCCTTTTCGTTTTTAAGGCGAACAAGCCCTGGTTTACCTCCAAAAACCGGGAGTAAATGGGATTCGGCCAAAAGGTCACCGACGCCCGCCCCGGCGTCCGTCCTCTGCCAGGGCCGCCTGACTTTGGATCAGCAAGCGCTCCAGGTCCCGTGCTCGCGCCTCGGCCAGAGCCGCCATGGCGCAAACCGGCGGCGGCGGACAGGTAATTAGGTCGGGTGTAAACGCTCTGTCTGTGCGGTTGTCAGGTGGGGTTGATATGGTTATAGTATATGGTTATAGTACTGCTATGGTTCTGCTATGGTTATATGGCTGTATGGTTGTATGGTTATATGGTTATATCAGGTGGGGTTGATGTGGTTATAGAAAGAGGCTATGTGTGATGTTTGTAGTGTATATGGTAATATATGGTCTTAGGTGGTGTGCATGTGGTATGTGTGTTGTTTGTGGTGTATATGGTATATGGTCTTAAGTGGTTTTCATGTGGTATGTACGATGTTTGTAGTCTGTATGGGTTACCCTTGGGGTGTAGGGAAACACGGGGTTAAGCCGTTGGATGAGAGGCTGCTTGGCAGCAGAATGAGAAACAACACTCAGGTTGTTGACTAGCGTTGGTTGCTTCCACGGGCCTCGTTCGGGGGTCTGGGTTTCGTCAGTTTGCTCACCTGCCATGTTAACAAGGCGCGTGCTGACCCTGCCTCCTAGATTAACGTGGGGCATTGGGCCTTTGTTTCTGGCACATGGCGTTTCAAACGACCCCGCCCTAACGAAAAACTAGTTCCTGACAATTCTGACTGCGCTATTTGGTGCTTTCAAAGGTCAAATCAATCTTCCTTAAAAAACAAAAAAAAAACAATCATGAACATAGGAAGCCCTGTCCAAAGGGGGGCCTACTACAAAAAAACATAACCCCAGCAACCCCGCCCCTTCCCCGCATTCTACATGTCTCCCAGCCCTTGAGCCAATGGCTGCAGCTCTCCCACCCTCAAAGAAACTGCTTGCGAATGGAAACCAGGGGGCCATGGGAGGGAAAAAGGTGCTGCGTGTGGTAGTTAGATTCAAACAGCGAAACTCGGCAACAAAAAGAGCGAACGAGATCATTGGGCTGCTGGGGTAATGAGCCATCTTGAATGCCTGGAAGGTGAGTTTCCCTGATGCAGGTACACCTGCTCATCACAGCTTATCAATTGGAATGCGTTGCCCACCTCATATGATACTGGAAACTCCCCCCCTTGCTGCATGACGCCTGAAGCAACACAAAACTAACTAATAGAACACTCTCAAAAGGCAGATTTCCGCGGTCCTCTCAAGAGGCAGAACCCCGCGATCGAATTACCGCAGAACGGCGTTACACACCGCAAGTTTGCAGGTTTGCCATCGAATGCCTAACGGCATGCTGGTTGACGAGGCCACCCCCCCAATAATTAAGGCAACCAGGAGGAGTGCATCAACCCAGGGACCTTGAGACTTGTCACGGAACCCAAGCTAAATGAATCGAATACATCCAAAATCGCCAGCTTCTGAATCAGCTGGCAAAGGTGATTGCTCAAATGACCCCAGCCGTATCCTTAAAAAACAAAAACCTGCGAAAGACGCCCAAAAAGCTGGCTGTCCATCCAAAGCGCGCTGAAAGGCCTCAAGACTGCACACAACGAGCGCCTCAAAACTGCACACACCCAGCAGCCGAGCCCGTGGAACCGCCTTCCTGCAGCGCGGGCAAAGCTGTGAGCAAATCCAGCTGCGGGAGACCCCGGTGCTGGCCTTGCGGAGCAGAGTTGCGGATCTCTGTGGCCTTCAGGGCGACCCACGCCGCCAAGTACCAGAAAAGAAACATTGGTTTGTAGAGGAGCCCCTCCTGTTGGCGATGTTGTTTCAGGCGTTCCATGGATTATTGGCATGGGAATAAACCTGGTTGTAAGAGCTTGCAAAGACTAGAACCCTTGCAAAAATGGCCAATGAGCTTTGCAGGCCCATTTCAAATGGGTTTGCATCGAAATTCAACCAAGTACTCGGCATGCTGACCAACAAGAAATGAGTTGAATCTCCAAAGGGCATCCTCCATTTGCTTAAGTCTCCTGGAAGCACAGAGAAAAATGTGACAGACTAGTGAAACCCCTTCCCTTCAAAACCAGCAGTATGAAAATGTTCACTTCAGCAAATGGAAGGCATGTGGTTGCCTAGGCGAGCTCGCTCGAGTTCAGGCGCAGGCATTCCATCAGCAACGCGCTGCTGCCTGAGGGCAAACCGCGTGCTTGGCCCTCCGTGCAAATCATTGAAACTGAGATATGGGGCCATGACTATAATTAGGGGAAGCTCTTGGGGCCATGACCCAAAAAGTGTTTGCCAAACATGGTGTGGCTCAAAACTAAAGAGCCTTAGGGCGAACCGCAGGTTGTCGTCTGTTGCATTTAAGGCGCCGTTTTGGTACATTTTGTTCACCCACCGCATATGCCAATGGGGTCCACTTGAAGAGATGGACCACAAACAAAACCGTTTTGGAAATTGCCACTGACACTGTCCGAGGAGAAAGTCTAAGAACTCGGGATCCGATTGACTTTTAAACAACTCAAAGGCGAAATTATGCTAAGCAGTTGGCAGTCTTTTTCCTGGAGGGTATCCCTTTTGAAAAGCCATGCTCCTGATGACTCAGCGGGTGAAGGCAACCGTCATGAGATGCGGGAGTTCAACACTTTTGTGCTCTAAACACTTGCATTTTGCGGTGCTTGAGTTGCACTCTTAGAACACCAAGAGCAGCGCGCCCGATTATATTGGTCCACCGGACTAAGTTTAAGCGCCACTAAACTCCCAAATGTCCTGCCGACCTCAACCTCAGATCGTGTTGGGTGGCTCCCCGACGCCTCCCCCAAGCAATTCTGAATTGAAAGTGCAAACTCTAATCCCAAAACAATCCCATTCAAATTCCTTAATTACTCGGCGGTTCTCTTTTTGTGTTCGGCAAAAGGAGGTCCCATCTTCCGTTGAAACTCTCAGGCACATCAGCTTCGGGCCAAATCAAACGCCAACACTCCAGGCTTTGAATTATATCTACTTCCTAAACACTTGTGTATCAGAGAAAAGTTGTGTTCTGTGCAGCTCTCCAAAAAATACACAAAATCCCCAGAACGGTAATGCCTAGAACACTTCCTGAGGCATGGCGTTGAATCCGCCAGAGCCCATGATCTTCCCAAACCGTGGGCTGACTGATAAAAAAGGAAGTCAACCAACAAGCAACTGGACGACTGGAATACCTTCCGATAATATGCATTAAATTGCAGGTATGAAGGCAACAAGCCATTGAATGATTCACACTGATTCACATCCTCTAGGCAAGGGCTCAAAAGACCTTGGATCGCAATCGGCCTTGAGATCCGGTCGAAATAGGGAAAGCCCTCAAATGCGCGGCTTTGTTTCCCTTTCCCTAAAAAGTGCACCCTGAACAAAAAAAACAAACACATAAAGCACACAGGCCCCTGAGATTCAAACCACCATTAAAACAATGGGGGCTCATATGGGCTCCTATAACCACCATGACGTTTGCCTAAGGATGGTCGTCATCCAAATTGGGTCCTTACCTTTATTTTAATGCTTGGTTGCTGTTGACCCCCCTGCAAAAAGTTTAACTTCTTGGGGGTTAGTGGAAAACACCGAAATGTGTCGACCGGGGCAAGGAACCCTAGGTTCAAAGGGGCGATTCTCTCAATGCAGCCCAGGCGCCGGCGATGTCCGGGTCTATGCCATTCTGCTGCATGTCGTCCTGCGAGAGGAAAAAGCCCAGGGCCACTTGTTCTTCCGGTGGTTCAACCCCAGGAAAACCGACAAAAGCATGGGTTGTCTTCCGTCAAAACTGGAACAAAAAGGGAACCCTTTTTGGGGGAAGACCATTTTTAGTGGGGCAGCCACCAAACAAAAAAGGGGAAAATAATTTTGTGCCACTGAACAACTGAGGAGTTGAACAACCGGGTTTCCATGTAACCTACCACCTCTTTTCATTTTAGTCAGGGGTTGACATCACTAACCAAGCGGATGTTCAGCCTGTTCCCCCCCACAACAACCCCCTCCTGCCAATGGAAGGAGGGTATGAACAAATTGCCGTGGCTCAAACAGTGGTACCATTTCAAAATGGTACCTTGGTAAATGGCAAGGACTAAAACCTGCGGTTTGCCCTGGTTCTTGAATTTTGAGCCACAGGCATTGCGTCCACCCCACCCCACCCCACCCCAACCCCCCACCCACCCCACCCCGACCCCCCACCCCCCCACCCCCCCACCCCCCACCCCAACCCTGTGCCCTGGGCCAAGACCTGGGCCTGGCGCCTGCAAAAACCTTCCCCTCGCGTCCCGCAGCGCCAGGGCCATCTCCCAAGCTGAGGCGCGGCACGAGCTGATCACCGCCTCTCCTAAGCGAATTCTCCACACATCCGGGGGCCATCCCTCTGGCCACTTTCGATGCAACTTCCCATTACCCTCCCATGGGTTCACAGACCCCTGTAGAAAGACTACTTTCCTCTTGGAAAGGGCCTTTTTGCACTTCCACGTTAGTTGGTGGGAGGGTAATGCCCCAGGAATGTTGTAGTTTGTGTACATGGCTTAGAGGCCATTGAGCGCAGGAGCTCGCCGCTGGCAGCGTTGCGCCCGCTTACAACTACCCTCTTGAAGTCTCCATTGCCCGGCAGCAACAGATTGAAGCTGGTATCCCGAAGTCAGCCACCCCGTGCAAACCTGCAACTTGTACCCAAAACGAGGGTCACACATATCAACTTCAAATCACTGTGCTTTTAAATTCAAACGAAATTATTAGGGGAGTTGAGGTTAAGATACATTTTTTGGTGGAGTTCTTTGGAGTTGCATGCTGGGTGCAGCACTGTAGCTCAGCTGGTCAGGCCTCGGGCTCACGGCTTGACCGCCTTTCATGCCTTGGAATGGGGGGATTTCCGAGATCCGCTACTTCATCAAGCGAAACAAGAGCCAAACAACAGGTGAACATGTTGAACGTCTGCGAGATGCATCTCTGCAAAGTTTGGCCGAGCAACCAAGGCGACATCTCAGGCATTGCTTGCAGAAGTTGCAGTGCATGCTGCCAATGGTCTGGCCGCAGCTGAGCGAAACTCGAATCCAATTCAACCTTGCCTGATTAGACAACTAGAAACCGTTGCAACTTGCGACAGTTTGGTCCTAGGCCAGAATAATGAAGCAGCCGGCCAACAAGTAGTCTCAAAGTTTGGAAACTGAGCATGCACCATGCCCATAGACCATGCAACCTCAACCTGGTTGTGGGGAAAAATCAAAACATCTGCCACACCAACATGGGCATAGGTCCCTATGAATGCTTTGTCACTTTGCAAGGGAGCACCTTGCCACCTGCCCATCAAGGCACTTTGCACACAAGGAGGGAAAAATGAGAGGGGCACGTAGGGTCAATCACATCTGTGTTTGGGGAATGCAAGGAATCATGGAACATCCTGCCGCAAACCCGTGTGCGTATGCTTCTCCGCTCCCGCGCCTCCAAAGGCGCCCAGCAGTGAGTTGCCTATCGGACACGGGCCAAACTAAAATTGCTTGGGAGACTTCAGATCGCCCAGCCATTGCAATCGATTCCGAAGGCTGCTGTCAGGTGGGCACCCTTTGGTGAATATTTCTCACTTCTCCCACTCTCTCTCTCTCTCTCGCTCTCTCTCCCTCTCATTCAAACAAAAACGCTTTGTGTCAGCTGGCATGTTAAGGGCGCTCGCATTCAAGTTCATAGCGATTTGTGCAGCGAAGCGGCATGCGATGACGTCTGGCCTCAGTTGCCGGCTTGGGAAAAAACACAAGGGACTCCTTGCTTGCAGCCCAATGTGGAACCTACTAGTGGGTCCGCTTTAGGGGTTGGAATTCCGAATTTCAGAACAGCGGGCAACCCCCCGCCCCTTTGGAAGGTGAGGAGAGTGTGAAAAACGCAGATTCCTGGCCAGGACCGATATGCCTCTCTTCTTCCGCAGCTGGTGTTGCTCGTCTATCGTCGGGAGTTTGGCAGCGAACCCTTGCTCAACCCAATGCAATGCTGCGATCTGATCTGCTCAGTCGACTTGCCACAAACAAACAACTTTGCGAGCCTTGGCTCAATCCAAATTCTACAGATATCACAAATCAACAACCAATTACAAATGTGTCACTGCTTGACCGTTGGACTCACGTTCCTGAATGATCTTTCGATAACCATCAAGCTGTTGCTTGAACAAGTAAGGGCGCACGGGCCTAGCGGTATAAAACGATTGGGCATTGCAAATTCCACCAAAACTTGTTCTTTAGAGTAGGCATGGAGAAGGAGAGATGCGGGGGGGGGGGGGAACATGTGCACATATCTATGTACATCTATATAAATAAACAAATATATATATATATATATAGTATTGGGCGGGGGCTAAAAACATGTTCCCCCCCTCCCCCCCGCCCAGACACCCCACACTCAGCCCAGGATCGTTGGGACCCGAATATGTAGGCCAGGATTTGGATCGCCTTTAGTTCGTGTTTCCCGTACTAGTCCCTAGCCCGAGCTTGCGAAGTTCCATGATGTCTTGTTTGCTTGAAGAACGCCCTTGGTTTGAGCTCAACATCACTACATTTATGAACTGAGCTATGCATCTTAGTAGCCCATGCGCTTAGCTCATGCTTGCTGCTTCAGCATAGAAGCGGTCGCTACAAGCAGTGTTATCTTCAAGAACCTCTGCATCTAGCACAGACATATTGATTGCTGCTTTGCCTCACCTTTATTAAGCCAACACCTGTGGCAACAAGGGGCTTGGTTGCACTGAGGCAAGAGTTCTAGAAAAAAACATGTCTATGCATGTTGTTTGTTGTCCCATGCGCGGGTATTCTTATGGCTTGCCTTGTGCGTCGAACCGTTTATGGACTCTCGGCCGGGTGGAATAGAATAGGATACGTGGCTTGGACATGGAGATGCATTCGTCATAGGTTAGGCCGATGCACAGCAGTGCCGCCATGCTTGTACAGCAGCTGCGGGCCTGCAGCGCGGAGCGTGGTCTGTCTTCAACATGGTTGAGCGAGGCCATTGCTCGTTCGCACTGGCCGCTTCGTGGTGAAGCTGCGCATTGTGAGATCAAGCTTCGTCAAGGTGGAGCAGCTCAGGGTGACCGCAGCTCCTTGTGTAGTTCCTGACATGTCCGAATGTGCGTGACTGCAAGCTGTTCAGGGGTCTTCATGTCTCATGTTTCTCATCATCAACAGTCATTGCCTAAACCACATGCGCCGCACGCATCTGTAGTTCGCCTCTCGCATCGCTGCTCTGAGCAATACGGAATTCCCAAGACATGCGTCCGCGAGCATGTGCATTTTCCTGGTCGCTGGGTGGCCCGTTGAAGTCTCGACTTGGCATCCACGTCCATCAGAGCGAGTCTCGCGGCCTTCCGCGCTTCCTCTGCTGGATGCCAGCCCCGATCCAAAGTGTGCGACAGCTCGCATGTGTTGCCATCGGAGAGCATGTCCAGGTAGATGGATGGTTTCTGCCCAGCTACATCCGCTGCGGTTGACCAATCAGGCTGCTAGCTTGCTATTGGTGAACGTGGAGAGTTTAGCTAGTAGCCCAGAGCATTTCTGTTCTCCATTCTTTCTTGGAAACATGAGCAAATTGTGTTGGTGACCTATGGAAGCTGCAAGTAGAACATGCCACCAGTAAGCACGTCGGAGCTTGACAACCTATCCTGGCAGAAATTAATGTTACCCACTTGCATGCTTTACCACTCAGAATTCTAACAACTCGCAATATGCTTCGTTCTTTTCCTCATTCAGCAAATCAAGGAGGGAGAGCGCCTTCCCCACATGAGCTACCAGCAATCCATGGCCAGTGGAAAGGTTCAATCCCCAAGCTCAGGTAGCAGCTTGGTAGCCTATATTTTTCACAAGATGTGGGGAACTCGCCACAACTGGCAGAGGCCTTCGTTCCACTAACCTCTGTCAGCTACAGGCGTGCAAAGTGCATGCAGCGGGGTGACTGGTCAGACCCTTGTTTGCTGGAACCAGGATCTTACATTTCCACTTGGCACCCCCGTAGCTTACAAAGGGTTGATGGAATGAAGGCCCGTGCAAGTTGTGGTGATCAGAGTCCTTGCCCCATTGCCCTGTGAACAAAATGAAGTTGATAGCAGGCTACCAAGCTGCTATGAGCTTGGACCTGTCCCCACTTGCCATTCTGAATCAACTACAAACAGATCACTAGTCATACTGCCAGTAGGCAGAGGCAGTTTCTCCCCCCCCTTCCGCATCTCTCCTTCTCCATGTCTGCTCTAGAAATATAATATAATGCATAATGTACTCTTTTTAGTGGAACTCATAATGCCAAATCGTTTTATACCGCTGGGCCCGTGCGCCCTTACTTATACCTGGGGGGTGGGTCGGGATGGGGGGGGGAAAACAAGAAGGCGCTCTTTTTCCCCCCCCCTTCCGCATCTCTCCTTTTCCATGTCTGCTCTAGAAATATAATGCATCATGTACTCTTTTTAGTGGAACTCATAATGCCAAATCGTTTTATACCGCTGGGCCCGTGCGCCCTTGCTTATACCTGGGGGGTGGGTCGGGGATGGGGGGGGGGAAAACAAGAAGGCGTTCTTTCCCCCCCCCTTCCGCATCTCTCCTTTTCCATGTCTGCTCTAGAAATATAATGCATCATGTACTCTTTTTAGTGGAACTCATAATGCCAAATCGTTTTATACCGCTGGGCCCGTGAGCCCTTACTTATACCTGGGGGGTGGGTCGGGGATGGGGGCGTTCTTTTCCCCCCCCCTTCCGCATCTCTCCTTCTCCATGTCTGCTCTAGAAATATAATGCATCATGTACTCTTTTTAGTGGAACTCATAATGCCAAATCGTTTTATACCGCTGGGCCCGTGCGGCCTTACTTATACCCGGGGGGTGGGTCGGGGATGCCCCCCTTGCGCATCTCTCCTTTTCCATGTCTGCGCTAGAAATATAATGCATCATGTACTCTTTGTAATGGAACTCATAATGCCCTATCGTTTTATGAAATGCAAACATCATGCAGTTCATGGCCATGGCTCGCTGGAGCAGACCGGCCTAGTTTGTGTCAATGATCCTTGTTCAGCCAAACCGTGAGGGTCTTCCCTGTTCACTCCAAGAAAGCAGGGAAACAAACATGATTGGTTGGATGCATCTCGAGAATCAACAAGTGATGTACCCCCAAGGGGGCTATGGTCGGGGGCTATCCCTGGAGAAGCACAAGCCAAGGATGAGCCTCTTTTCAGGCCCTATGAAACAAAACAGGGCCGTCAGGTGCCTTTGCCGTCAACTAGGTCCAAGATTACAAGCAACATTGAGTAAGCAGTTCGCCTCACGCGATCCTGACACAACTGGGCCCTGATCCGAGTTGCTCGAGATTGGACTCCAGCAGGGCCTCAAACACGGACAGCCTCGGCTGCAGGCAAGTCGACCAAGCCTGCCGTGCTGCTGGGCACGTCAGCTAAGCCACTCCCCTACCCAAAGCCTTCAATGGAAAGAGGACGTGGGAGGATCTCTGAATTCGATTTATCTAGTTGTCCCTAAACCACAAGAATGCCAAGGGAGGCTGCGTCAACCAGGAAAACCAGGCTCATCCACAACCTCCTTTTCGACTCCTTGTGACCTTGAGGGACTCCCCTTCCCTAAATGCTTGAATCTTCGGCATAACGCATAAATTTCAACCTCGGTTAGGCATGGAGATGGTTGAGCCCTATGATTCACACTAGGGTGAAAGCTGATAGCGAAATCCCTTCCTGTGGGCAAAGGGGTGCCTTAGCCGAATTGAAGAGATGTACCATCTACTTAAGTATTTGCCTTTTCTGTTTCCTTTTGGCTCTTTTGAATGCAAGGCAAAAAAAAGTCCCTCCAACACACACACACACAGACACACACACACAGACAGACACACAATACACACACAAAGACACACACACAATACGCATACACACACAGACACACATACACACAGACACACACACACACAAAGACGCAAAGACACAAAGACACACACACAGACACACAGACAGACACACACACACAAACACACAACAAGACAAAAAGACACAAAGACACAAATACAAAAAGACACAAAGACGCAAATATACAAAGACGCAAAGACACGCACACACACACAAAGGCACAAAGGCACAAAGACACATAGACACAAAGAAGCAATCACACAAAGACACACAGACACAAAGACACACACAGACACACAGACAGACACACACACACACAAAAGCACAAAAGCACAAAGACACAAAGTCACAAAGACACAAAGACACAAAGACACAAGTATACAAAGACACAAAGACACGCGCACACACACACACAAAGGTACAAAGGCACAAAGGCACAAAGACACAAAGACACGCACACACACACACACAAAGGCACAAAGGCACAAAGGCACAAAGGCACAAAGACACAAAGACACAAAGACACAAAGACAAAAAGACACAAAGACTCAAAGACACAAAGACACACAGACAGACACACACAAAAGCACAAAGACACAAAGACACATTTTAAAAAAGACACAAAGACACACACACAGACACACAGACAGACACAAAGACACAAAGACACAAAGACACAAAGACGCACAAAGACACAAGACAACACACACAGAGACACACACACACACAAAAGCACAAAGACACAAAGACACACAGACACACACACAGACACAAAGATAAAAATACACAACGACACAAAGACAAGCACACACACACAAAGGCACAAAGGCACAAAGACACAAAGACGCAAAGACACAAAGACACAAAGACAAAAAGACCCAAAGACCCAAAGACACAAAGACACACAAACAAACACACACACACAAAAGCACAAAGACACAAAGACACATCTTAAAAAAGACACAAAGACACACACGCACACACACAAAGACACAAAGACACATAGACACAAAGACACAAAGACACACAGACACAAAGACACAAAGACACAAGACCACACACACAGAGGCAAGTATCTATGCGCTAAGGAGCTGGCGCTTGCTGCCACTGGGCACTCACTGTGCAAGCATTGATGCTGGCCTCAGCGCGGCTGGCAAGGACATGTGACGCCTGGGCGCGCCTTTTTCAGAGCCGGTGGTTCCGTGAGGGGCGTTTGGAAGGGGCCTCGAAAGCTGAACCAAACACATCGACATCACTGAAATAGGTGTCTCGAAATTTAGGGGGGGTTTAGGTGGCCCATTGCTCTGTTTTAGACTAGGTCATGTTCCCAGAAAATGGGCACCTGGTGGTTGCAGCATTTCTTGTTTTCATTTTTTAGTGGGCCCCCTGCCCTCCCGAAATGAACTACGGACTAATTACCAACAAACTTGTCACTGCACTGAGCATGACTCCTTGCCGCGACCAGTAGCCTCGCGTTCTTCAATGCCACAGCATGTAGGAAGACAACTTGCCCTAGTGTGATGAACCGCCAACCTGATGGCATCTTGTCGCATACCTCCCCTCACTATGTCAAGGGCTTGTGATACACGTAGGGTGCGCATGCCAAGCAAACACAAGAGCGACTATGTGAGCCACGGTCCATATGATGTGCTTCCTCAGGAGGGCGTGGACGAACAGCTTTTATGTGCGTCTCTTGGTTTTGGTGAGTTCCCGCTTGTCACTCCTAAATGGACTCTATATATATATATATTATGCATAATAATTTATAGACAACTGGAAAGTTTGACCACATCTAATGTGATCCCCGAGCTCTGCGCATTAAAGGTGATGCCGTCTGGCTGCACCCAAAGGTTCTCCTGCGAGTTGAAGAAGCGGCATTGAGTCCCAGTGGATTGGGTTTGGGCGAGTGCCACGTCAAATGACCCTTTGGTTGTGGTTTCGAGATGATTGGGGTGGCGCCCTGCCCCTCTTCAAACCAATTCGCAAGGTACCCTAGCCAACCAACCGCCAGACCCACGCAACCAGCAACTCAAGCCACCGATTAGCTGGGCAAACTCTACTACAATGCAAACACACACACACACACGTCCAAAATAAGCACTCCTCAAGGAACGAATCTTCATCACAAGTTTGTTGCAAACCAAGCCCTTTGTGAGGTCATAATTTGATTTGGCCAGAATGAGGGGTGAGTGAAAGTGAGATGTCGGCCCGCAACTGTACTACCCCTCTCCTAATCTGTCCAACCCTTAACAACGCCTCCCAGCTCGAAGATGGTTGAAGTGGAATGGCACAACAATGGCAACCAAACCCTGGTGCTCCTAGAATCTTACAAGGAGAGCCACAGGAGGCTGTTTGAACAATGATGTGTGGCACCAGGTTGGCTCAACCTACCAATTTACTCCCTCCTGTTTGAAGTGGTCCCCAAACCATCTACTGTTTCTGTTTCAAAAGGCCAAACAGTCAAACAAAGGCTTTGCCCACAACAGCCCCTACCTCTGTTTAATCTAACTGTTTCGTGTTTTGCTTTTTTAATGTCCAGCTTTTTGGGGGTAGGTGAAATTCCAAGATCAACACCGTAGCCTGTTGCTTCTGAAGGCCGGTTCATCCTAAGCTCTTCCCAATTCAAAGGCTTATATAAAGGCCTCAGATCCGGGAAACTTAATTTTGCAAGTGGTCCTCACACCATCAAATTTAAGCTAACGTTTAAACAAAATAAGGGCAACCAGTCACACAAAGGAGGGACACCCGCAACAGGTGGTGTGTTATCAAGCCTAGGCCACCTAAGGTAATACCTAGGCAAGCAGCAAACCGTTGACTACTTTTCACACTGCTGATAGTGCTCTTGAAGTCTGTAGCGGCGGAGCATGTACAAGGTACACTCATGCACAGGGCTGGAACCTGAATCCACACCCCCCTCATTTGAGATTGAGCAACAACGAAAATGTCGGCAGGTTTTGCAACCCGCTTTGATTCCATACGCACATCCATTGCACGTTGAAAATGGACATTACACATCCGTCGTACATGCAAATTGCTACTCTCTCTCAGAAGGGCTCCGTTGTTATGAGGATTGCATTCACCACCTTCCGCTAGTAGACCAGCCGCGCGAACTCCAGGTCGACCACTGCCAGCTGCTCCAGTCCTGACTGCTCCAGTCCTGTCTGCCCCAATCTCTCCAGCGTCGGCTTCTGGCAGCGGAGCTGGAGGCGGGCTGAGCAGCTTGCACAGGTCCGCGGGCGCGGTCCTCGGCGCTTTGCCTTTGGCTGCGCCGTGCGAGCTTCTTCGCATCGTCCTCCGCCTGGCCGCAAATCTCCTTGACTTCAGCTTCGAGGTCCACGGCTCCGGTTGCCCGGAGCGTAGGGAACTTCCCGCCAAAGGTGACAAGATTGCGCATCCCCGGGAGGATGTTGACCTGGTCGACGAATTGATGAAGACTCAGCATTTTCCCGTTGTATGAGAATAGCCATGGAAACTCAAGCAGGCTGGCGTCATAGTCCCCGACCTTGCCGCCGGTGACGTAGACGGTCCTCACATATTGGAGACCTCGTTTTCCATAGCGTGGCCCAACCCCGAGAAGTCGTTGATCATAACTCCGTGGAAATTCGGGGAGGACACAAAACCTATAGATAGACATCTGGTAGAGGCTGTCGCGGTTGTGCCCTTGCTCCACCATGCGAAGGGCGAAGGTCGCGTCTTTGTCAAACCGATCTACCACATTGTCGTATCCAAGCTTGCGGGCCCTGCTGTCGTAGTTCTTCGAAGCCTCGATCTGCTTGGCTTCAAAGGATGTTGCTCCTCTCTTTGCAACATCAGCATAGCCCTTGAAATCATTGATGAGGAGCTGGTCAACCGTCTTGCCGACGGTGGCTCACCTCCTCAAGCATCTGCGTTCTCCGCTTTGCGGCTCTGAAGAGCTGAACGTCGTTGTTCTCCTTGGTGCTCCGTCCACAGCGCTGACACTTGATCTGCCCCTGCATCATGTCCTCGCCGCAGAGGCTGCAGTCCGTGTAGTGGACGGGCATCGCAAAGGTCTTGAAACGGACAACTGAGGTGTCGGCCGCGGGTTGCCCCGGGCAAGAAGCGGCCGTATCCTCATTCGTCTGCTCTTCTTCAGGATTTGTGGCCCTGTTCCCCTCCGCATCGGTCTGAAAGGCCTCGTCTGCAGTCACAGTGACGGCTCGCCTTGCGGCGAGCATATCGACAGTCGTTTGATTCTCCAATGCCTCAAGACGAAGGGCGTTCCTCCAAAGCACTTCTCCGGTCTTCGCGTCTGTGTAGTACAGAATGGAGTCATTGGGAACGATGTCGTTGGTCAGCATGACATCAGACTCGGAAAGGAAAAACACCACTCCGAGCTCAATCGCATACTTGAAGTCGATCACCAGCTCAATGGGCATCGTTGCTCGGACTCCAGCATTATACGATGAGCTCTCTACCGGGTGGGTGGAAAAATGGCTTTGCGAGCGGCCACTCTCCGTGGCACCAACGCCACCCGGGGCCACACCTGTCCTGACGATGTTCTCGGCTGCGTTCTTGCTCGTGCGATGGTATAGTTTGCCAGGGCCATCATCAACCGGTGAAAGTTGCAGTCCAACCTTGCGAGCGTCCTCCGGGAGAAACTTCCCATAGACGGCCTTAGCGAGTGCATACTGGTTCCGGCTGATGTCGCCATCAGCATCAACGCTGCTGGCGTGTCCCTGACTGGCACGAACCTTGATGACAACCCACTCCTGGTTGTTCTCGGCAGCCGAAGGGTGCTTGATCGCGAGGACGGTGTATCTGCATTTCGGATCGAGTGCAAAAATCTTCAACAGCGTTTTGTACCCGATATTGCTGCGGGTCTTTCTGTTGAATTTGTCACATAGCTGATGGACGTCGACAAAATAGTTCTCATCGAAGTCGAGTGGCCTCTGTTCTTGAAACCTGCCACGAAGCATACCAGATATGGTTGTGCACCGATCGGTAGAGGACGTTTCTCCCTTCATGAAGTTGGGCACCTTCAGGATCGTGCCCGGGAGAATCCTCGCCTCATACTCCTGGCCGCGGAAGATGACGGTTCCGCCGGGCTTGCCTGGCAACGCGCTTCCGGCAGGGGTTGCCCCCCGCACATCCGATGCCACCGCAGCAGTTGATGGTTTCGCCTGTACCTTAGGCGATGCTTTCGCGGTGAACTTGGGTGTAGCCGGAGCGGCCTTGACGCCAAGCGCAGCCTCAGCGGCACTCCCTTGCGGGAGTGCATCATCGTCATCATAGTCGATCTCCTCCTTGATTTCGACTTCCTCGATCTTTTCGAGGATGCGGCCCTTCGCGAGCTTGATCGGACGTTGAAGGCTTTCCCATGACTCAAGAGTGAGCTTCCTGTTCGCCTCGTACTCGGCCAAAGTGTTGGGATTGAGTCCAGCTTCGGCGTCATGAGAATATTCAAGGTACAACCTCACGTTGTTGAAATCTTCTTTGTGGGACTCAACGACAGCGACACACTTCATGACGTTGTACAACGACCACAGCCACTCCACCGTCGTCTTCCGGTTCTCGATGGAGTCCATCATGTGATAGTTGTCAAGCCGGTCCTGCCGAGATACCAAGAACGTCGACTCCTTCTTGCGAAGGAGCTTGTGCTTGTTGAGCGACTCATCCAACAACTTTTCCATGAACTGGTTGTAGATGGGCGGGAGCATATAGTACGAACCCTCGGTGTTGGCCAAGATCGTGATGTTTGCAATGCCCCACCAACTCCTGCACTCCTCAAGCACATCGATCGCCTTGGCGCACTTGTTGAACAGCTCGGGCCAGTGACCGTCTCCGCAACGGTATGGCCATTCGGGCTCATCGCAGATCCCACCACTGCCAACGAGCTCGTTCCCGGACCAGTACACCGTCACGTAGAAGTCGTGGTCCTTAAACTCAGGGCGCTTCTTCAAGTCCTTCATGGCGCTCTTCACTGTCCACGTGAGAAATGTGAGGTCCTTTCCCCAACACATTCTCACCTCACAGTGGCTACAACCAGTGCTGCGGTTGTAGTTCATGTCCTGCGCCAAGTCCGCCCTCTTGCGGTTCTTCTTGCCACCGCTGATGAGGGCGAGGCTGGAGTCACTCACAACGAGGTATACGCTATTCCGGCCACAGGTTGCCCCGGGCGTGATGCGGCCAAGACCTTTGTCGTTGACGGCGCAGAGCGTATCCATGAGCTCCGGCGCGTAGTCAGCCGCCCACATAGCGCATGAACTCTGAAGGGTGGCCTGTGCTCCGAGGATCTGCTCCATTGTCTTGCGATCCTCAGGCCTCGTCTCCTGGAACAAGGTGTTCGACGTGAAGCTCGTCATCACACCTCGCCAGTACTCCAAGTTGCCCTCCTCATACTCCCCGAGATTGTAAGCAGCCATTGCGGCTACCGGTGAGGGAAGCTTAAGAGCAACAAGTGCACGTTTTGTTGGTCTCTGAGCCGAGCTATCGGTGACAACCTGTTTCATGCTGTCAGCAAACTCAGAAAAACATCCATGGATCAGGTCAGTCATTTCATACGTGTAAGATTCAGCACGTTTGAGGGCCGCCCCCCTGGACTGTCCATGCTGATGATCCTTTGTGCACTTATACTGTTGCAGTTTGGCCAACGATTGACAGGAAGAAGCAATAGTCCATGACTTTTGCAACAAATTTCCATCCTTGTCCAGGACACCAAACATGCAACCATCGCAATTGTACTTGACCATCTCATATTTCATGAGGAAATCATGCACGAAATAGTTCTTCCAATAACTGCAAAGCTTAGGAAGTTCCATGTTGATCACAAGCACAATGTCAAGCTGTCGAAGCATAGTGATAAGTTTGTCCAAACGCTTCAGCAGTTTGCGAAACA